TCCAGCATTGTTTTGAAACTGTATACCAGGGTTTGATGCATTGAGAGCAAGTGGATTACCACCGGGGACAAAGCGTTCCACCATCGCAGCGATGAGCCACACAGCACTGCTGCACGCCAATCTGGCCCCTATTGAAAAGAGGTCAGCAGTGCACTGAGCCAGGTTCGTGAACAAAAGACAGTTGTATAACACCGCACAATCTGGGCTCTGTTTACAAGGCTGCAGGTCTGGCTGAAATACTTGGGCGTCAATGAAGGTCACCTGTCAACTTAGAGTGGTGCCTAAAGATTACTTCATGCGGCTATAAACGACCGTTAAATGGAATGATGAATTTTTGAAGGATTTTGAAAACGGAAAAAATGATAGTCATGCCGGCCCAGCATCATCAACGTTGAAAAATGCCCCGGCACGAAGTGGTTAATGAGAGTGGACTGTGTAAGCCCAGCTTGGGCGATCATATATCACTTTAATTTTTTGTGTTTACATTTTATTTTTGAAAACCGACAATATTGTCAGCAAGCAGAAAACGTGATGTAACTGTTTTGTACATGTATGGTTGTTCACTCAGTGCGTGTGAAAATGTTGATTTATTTTTGTCAGGATTTAATCAAGGAGTTCAAGGGAGAATTGAGTGGCAAACTGTTGGATGTTGTTAATGGATTAATGATGACACCGGAAAAATATGATGCCTATCAGTTACACAAGGCTATTAAGGTATGTATCATAGAAATGTGTTGCTCAGGTAGTAGTGGTGGGCAGCAGTGTCAGGCAGTTGCACATGCTAATATCCTTTGTTCTTTTGGCCATTTACATGTATATGTAAATCAATTTTTTGATTCACACCACTCAAACTGAAACAAACTGGGTCGAGAGGGGAATTAACATTTTGTATTTTATAAATCTGACTTGCTTGGAGCCAAAGGAAATGTTTGGTATTGCAAAAACAGTCAAACATTAAGAGGTCCCTCAGACTTTGCAGATTGCCTTGTTTTAACAGGAACCTTGTGTTATCAGGAATGAAAACAATGAAGAACAAAGGATCGGGATTTCTAAATTTCCTTGTTATAAGCAGAATGATGTAATTATTTCTAATGGACATTTCTAATGGGTACAGCGTTAGAATGTGATTCAGATTTTATTCAAGTGTATTGCGTTTCAAAGTTAACCATTCACAGTTACCCCAGCAGTTTTCTGATGTGTGTTGATGTCGTTTTTTCCTTTGTTTTTTTCCTGACAGGGTCTAGGCACAGATGAGGCTGTGTTGATTGAGATCCTCTGTACTAGAAGCAATGCATCCATTGATGCCATCAAATCTGCATATGAAACAGGTTGGGCTATAACTTGGTATTTTTTGTCTACCACTCAGCTGAAAGTTTATGGAAAAGCTTTCTGAATATTTTCAAATGTTATTAAATCACTCAAACCAAAAACTGTTCGCCTGTTGAACTACACTTCACAAAAACAGAAAGAAATATTAATTTTCATTTTTCTCACTCCTTTTTTTTTATTCACAGCTTACAACCAAAATCTGGAGGAGGATGTAGCTGATGACACATCAGGGAACTTCCAACGTCTGTTGGTGTCTGTTCTTCAAGGAGCTCGTCCTGAGGGTGATGAAGTAGACCCAGACAAAGCACAGGCAGATGCCATGGTAAATTGACAAGTTGAATACTATAATATCGGTCCATGCCTGAATACTCTCAATTTCTTCAATTCTGGAGCAAATTTGTCTGCTAGTTCATACAGTAAAATGACAAACCTCTTTTCCTTCTGACCCTCGTATGTCTTCAACTTGCTAATATGTCATAAACAAAATGACACTATACCTATTATGAAAAGTGACGTGCAGATATTTATGTCATGTTGGTAGCTTGTAATTACTTCTAGCTTGTAATTTTTTCATTTTGGGTGTTTCTGTGAAAGATTAAAATTCAGCGAACATGAAGAATTGACAACTCGTTACTCTGTAAATGTAGAACATCTGCTGCTATGAGGGCATTATGTTAAATAAGAACACTTCAATGGCCCAGTGTACCGTCAGGTTTAACTGTAGGTTAGAGCTTCATGTGTAGTTCCTGAATTGATGGTCTCAGGGCTTTTCTTTGAATTTCAGGCTCTCTACAAAGCTGGGGAAGACAAGTGGGGAACTGATGAGTCCAGATTCAATGTCATCATAATGTCACGTAGCTATGCTCAGCTACGTGCAACATTTGAGGAGTATGCTAAGATCTCAAAGAATGACATTGAGCAGGCAATAAAGAAAGAAATGAGTGGTGACTTAAAGGAAGGAATGCTGACTGTAGGTAAGAAATATGGAAAGAGGAATGTGGAAGATCTTATACTTGACCTTTGCAGTGCCATGCTATCCATTTTAGTTTGGTTCTTACTGAAGGCACGGTACAATGTGGTACCGGCCTACTGGTATATTGTCTGATTTATCGTTCCTCAGTTTACAGTGACTTTGCATAGAAAATGGTAGTTGAAGCATTGTTTCAAATGATGCAAGATCACTCATCCTGTTAAATTTGTCAATTTAAAACTGCACTTTTTACTGTCACGTGCACACCTTTTCTGTTGCTATCATTTCAGTGAGGTGTGTCCGTAACAAACACAAGTTCTTTGCTGACAAACTCTACAAGTGTATGAAGGTTGGTGTGTGGATTTAGTTTAGTTTGCTGTGACTAGTATGAAGATTCTTTCTTATTCCTTCAATTGTTGCAAACACACACATATGCTTATAAAACAGGTATATGGAAACCAAAATGATTGAAATTTATCTCCAATAAGATAGCATTCATGTACTGTGTTGTTACCGTTGGTGTCAGAGCATAGCATTCCTATCCTTGCATGTGCTGTGTTTTGATTGCGAAGATTTTTCTGCAATCTTGACAGGGCCTCGGTACTGATGATGACTCACTGATGAGGATCTTAATTTCCCGATGTGAGGTCGATATGCAGAATGTTAAAGCAGAATTTCAAAAGGCTTATAACCAGACACTTGGAAAATTCATTGCAGTAAGTATCAAACTGTGTTTTCTTAATGCAACAGCTGTGGGGGGGGGGCCTACCTTTGTGTGTCACACCAATGAGAGAGACTTAACTTGAGAGGTGCTTTACCTCAGAAAGTACACAAATATGTTGGTGTGTTTTTTGGGTTAAAAATTTCCTGCCCTAGCATCCATTATGCAATTTGTAAAAAAGTTGATATATACGAAGTCTTTTACCAATTTTTTTTTCTGTTTGATTTTCTGAAGGATGACACCTCAGGAGACTACAAAAGGATTCTTGTTGCTTTGGTTGGAGGAGAAAGCTAAAAAACTCTTCAAGTATTATGCATTCACTGAGCATGAATACTGGACTGGATTTCAGGAAGACATGGCTACATCAGTAGGTTCATTTTTTATAACTTCAGTAACATTTGCTAATAAGTTCTTGAATTTTACTCAGTTGTGTGTAATGAGCAAGTCCCTGCTTGGCAAGGATCAAACAGCAGGTAATTTGCACAGTTCTCTGTACGTGTTTTATGTCGATACATTCCAAGCTATAATTGGTAGCTAACTGTGTGTGTAAGCCCAAGATAAAAAGTAACAGACATATTGCGTTCAACCAGCTCAAGTCAAGAAGTATGAAACTCTATTTTTAGGTGTATTTTCAGATGTACATGTACTACAAAGTGTGTGGCTATTGAGTGTAATTTGTTTGTGCAACATTAGATAGCTGTGACTCAAGTCACGTATTTGTACAATAATTTGTTTGGTATCTACAGTGAGCATTCAACCAAAATTGTGTGTGAAATCTGACAGACTAAATAATTGATGTTCATCTAATTCTTGAATGGGATTTTAATGACATATTTCAGATCATGAACTGTATATAAAGGTGTATAACTTATCACATGTGTTATAGATCAGTATTTTCTTAACATGCTTGTTTTATCAAAACAACTTCATTCTTTCTTAAAACTGTTATTGAGTTCTAGTGAAAACTGTATTGAAGCTAAGAATGCAGAGTTACCGAATCAAGATGATCAGTTAAGTTGCCAAATCAGAATTTCAAATAATGGCTCAAATCACTGTTATCAATCTATTCTGAGAAAGCTGGAAATTTAAATTGGTATCAATTTGCTTGTAGCTATTAATGCTCTGAAATAAGTATACATTGTATGTGTATTTGTTATTCTTAAAGTTCTTTTCTTGAATTTCCTTCAAGCGTTTAGGATACAGCTTAACCAATAGGTGTTTAAAAAATGTATAAATAGTGCATTTCATTTTGTTCGTATCTGCTGGAAAAATTATTGATATTCAACTTGGCAATTTAGTTCTTGCAATGTGTCAAAGATAAAAGTACCAATGTTAAAGTTGCATCTTGGTCGTGGAGTGCCCCATGTTCATGCATGGTTGAGTTGAGAAATAGAATTTGAATGAAATTAAAGTGAGGTACATGTACGTTATTGTCTTTATTTGAAAAAAAAACAGCAGTAAAGCTTAGTTTGCATGTTGACATAAAGTGTGGCAAAGAGTATCTCAGAACAGTCTCCGCTTGTGGAAAGTTTTATCTTTGCTAACGTTAACAAATGCATGCAGACAGTCAACAAAGCTGGATCATTTTGAGCTCTGGTGACTGTGTCAAGTTGTTAAAGTAAGCTCGTAAAAAATGTGTGCTGGTATGATATGTCACACATATACCCATTTTCTCATTTTAATTAACTTTGAAGTGACATCAAATTGTCCAAAATTAAAAATATTCAACCACTTTAAAGGGTACATGTAGCTGCAATCTATTTTTTTGCCTACAAACCTGTAAATGCACCTTTGTGCCTCAGTGAACCTCATTTTAAACATTGGTTTGACTATTTGACAGGGTATTTTAATACCTTTTTGGTTTTATGCTAATGAGATTTCCATATTCTTGAGCAAAACTGATGTCATCTTAGGAAGAAGCCTCCATGTTACATTGGTTTGTGCACAAAAATGTCCTGCGTTTTTGTAGATTTTCCTGCACTAAATTTTCTCTTCTTAGCCAATTCATCGTTGTGTGCATAGCAATAAGAAACCATCAATCCCACTCTCAGACATGTTATCAGTTACTAAATTCTGGGTTAACAATTTGAACACAAATACCTACATGTATGCACTGAGCCATGTCTTCCCTAGATAACTTCACAGCAACAGTGGCCTCAATTGTCTGGGAAACATGGATAATTTTGACTGTTTAAAAGTATGCATTTTTTAGTGCATTTAACGAAATAGGGGTGTGGAAGAGTTTTCATGCATTGAAGAAAAGTACAAAGATGCAGAAAATATGTGTTGAAGAAAAATTCATTGCAGCTACACTTTAATAATAAATAGTGTTTCCCATGAATGTATGGGATGCTGTTTTGTAACAAGTATTTTGGTTGAATAATATCATTCACTATCTCTTCTGTGACTTTGTCTTTGACATCATGTGCTGTTGGTATTTGTTATGACAATATGGGAAACAAGGCTTTATTATTAAATCTTCAAGTAATACCAGTGAATGCACTAGTAAATGGCAATACTTGTGTACATTCAATAAATGTACAATTGAATCTCTTTAATAAGAGCACTGTTAATACAACATTCTGCTTGTAACAAGGTAGTTTTTAGGTTCCAATCCTTTGTTTTTCATTGTTTTTATTGGTGGTAATACAAGGCTCTTGTCATAACAAGGTAATCTGCATAGTCCAAAGGACTTCTTAGTTATAAGGTTTGACAGTATCCACTGGCCTACTGTTAGATAGGATAGTGAACCATAATAATGTTGAACCTAAAGACTTAATGTAAAGTTAGGTTTGAATTCCACCAAAATTGAAACATACAGTTCTGGCAAGAATAATGTGGATAAGTTACTTCTGTTAATGCATACATGGTTGTGTGAGAATTTACCGTTACTGCAGTCCATTAAATTAAAAAGACAAGAACAGCCCACTAACACAAATATTTCTTTTCTATTCAAGTTGGTTTTATTGATTCTGAATGTAATTCACACATTGATAGATGATCAAGTTACATTTACAATTGTTTTTGTATAACACCACACAATATTGGGACCCCCCCAGTAAACTTGAAGGTAACATTAATTTTCTCATGGCAAAATAATTGTCAGAAATTGCTGTTTTTATCAAACTAAAGTTCAGAATGTTATATTTTCAAAAACTGAAAAGCACATTCAACACCGACAGTGCATTGCAGGGAGCTATTACATAAGGCAACTACTTTTTCTTTCTGCCTCGTGATTTACCACAGCAATCAATGTGTAGTTTAACTCCCCTTCACAGATGAGATCATTGGAAAAGCCTACAGAATGAAGATACAGAATTTAACAAGATTTTGTCATGTTACGTTTAAATTTGTTTTAGTTTCCATCAACAAATAAATAGGATAATGAAATGGTTTCATGTGGTTATTACAGAAACCAGTTAATAAGATCATCACCATGTTAAATACACATTCTTGAAATTCTGAAACTGCACAATGAATTAAGCAACCGTCTCCTGAATAAAATAGCAGTTTCATCAAGTTTAGAATTAGAAGGAATTTGAAAAAGTATCGGGCCAAAAAGTTGCATGGTTATTAAGCATTTAAGTTCAATGATTGCACTTGAACTTCAACTGGACAGAGCAAAAAAATGAGTTTTATGATGTAATTTGTCAAATGATATTTGTGGAAACAATTTTTTTTGGGGGGGGGTTGAACCCTGTAAGGTGCATTTTGCACTTGCAACATGTTGGTTTCTGTGCATACATGTACATGCATGTTGGACTATTTGTGGCATGTTACTCTGTTGCTGTAAAGCTGTCAGATCCAATCTAAGTCCTTACATAGCATGCTTTGTAGCACTCAAAGTGCCTCAGTGCACAGACAGCAAATAGGGATAATGAAAGAGTAACACTGTAATGACACATCTTGGAAATCACCGTGTACATACAACTTCTTTCAACCCTTAAACAGCTTGGCTATTTCACCAGGGCCATCATCGAGGCATCTATGTAATTTTCTGGATGTACATGTAGTTGTGTCCATAAAGTCTACGGTGTATATGTAAATACATGTACATAGTTAAATGGCATTACGTGTAGATGTACACAACCTTCTTGACTAATTGGCTACACTCTTAAAAGAGACGTGAATGTTTCCCATCCTGCATTTTGCAAGTTCAATGTTTGCGTGCAACAAGTGTTCTGTCTTTTGGTTACAATCTTGAGGAGCCAACACTATGCACAGAATTCTTCACTGATGTCGATTCTGTCATCAACTCCTCCATGATGCGAATGGCCTGTGACATAAAAACCACTTCATCAGATGTGAAATGTGTATTTCCTTGGTTCATGCAGACTTATATTTAAATCCAATGCACTGTTAACAGAACTAGGCATGCCAGGGTTTCCTTGACGACCGTTTATTGATTCAAGTTGGTATTGTAGCGTCATATAAACACAGGTACATGTACATGTGTACATGTACATATATAACTTCCACTTGCATGACATTGTAACATATCTTGGGCAGTTTTGTAATTGCCGAAATACATGTAGTTAATTTGATTTTTACAGTTAACAAATGATAAGGCCTTAAATGTAAGGCAGATGTAGAAAGCTTCCTTGAATCCCGAACAGCCCTGGATACTACTAAGTACTACTTAGTAATCAAATGTAGTGTTTAGTGCTGCCACTTGTAAGAAGACATGACGTTATTGTTCTCTGAAGTCATAAAATACAATAGATAAAAAATGTACAGTACAGTGCTGTGGCACTATGAGAATGCATGACTTAATTTTTCTCTGTACAAGTGACAATGGAGGGTGCCCTAGCCAGAAGAAGTTATCTGTAGCGCTTAGTCCTTCAGGCTCAGACTACTGTTAGTACTGAGTACTGCAAGACAAATTTTATGGAGAACTGTAAGGGTTCATGAATTTGGTTTTCACTGTTGTTTCTAGTAACAACACGTTCAAACAAGGCAGTGTAAACAACAATGAACATAAATAGCAGTTAATGGGACAAAAGTTCCTCCACAATTACAAGCGGTCAACCCACCTTCCAGCCCCCTTTATTTGCAAAGCCGTGTAGAAACATCTCAATCATTCCGCCTAAAATGCCAAATCCCTTGATACGAAGCCCTCCTTTTTGCTTCAGTTGAGTCCTAGACGTATGTGGACAAGTACAAGAAAATGTTGTGTAGAGCCCTTACATTATAAAAAGAAAGTGTGGGCAACTTTGAGACACAGAAACCATGCTGGATTAAACAGTTTCTACATTTTCCGGGGATCTTTAACAAAGTCATGTTTTCATGTTAAACTCTGTCCACCAGAGGTGTTTTCAACAGGAATTAATAGGGGAGGGGAGCATGGAGCCATGTTGCCAATATTTTTTAGGGAACTGAAAGCACCGGCATTTTATTAAATGATACTCCAACCCAACTTTTTTTTGGGGGGGGGATTTTTCACAGATTAAAAATTCAGAAAATCATCTTCAGGAAAAATTTCTACTTCCCCGTTGACCTAAGACACGGGTTTACCACTGCAGTCCTGGCTAATGTAAACTTCTAGCATACCAGTTTGAATTTTGGGGGCAAATGCTGAACTCGGACTCTTCCCAGGTGTCTGCATACTTGTTCCATGTAAGACTATGACTCTTGACAATAAGATGCTTGTATTTACGATCATGCCATGTCTCTTCTTCCAAATAGACTGCATCCTCATTGAGTAACTGAATCTAAAATGTCAAACAAGCTCATTAAATTAGTAACACTGTCGAAAGTAATCAGGTAATGGCTTGTTTGGAAACTTTGAACTAGAACCAACTTAAGTCAAAGATCGGTGGGTTTAACTACAAAACAAAGCATTCTTTTCAAACAAAGGTAACTTATTCATTCTCATGTTAGGGACCTACCGCAGTTAAAGGTCTTTACCTTTTTGAATATTGATGGTAGTACATTTCTACATGTAGCTATCCTTCGTTTGTACTCCACATCTTTTTCTTCATCTGGAACAATTGTGACAAGTTTTTCAAGAACTGTATCAGAATAGGCATTGCTTAAGCTCATGCAAGAAATACATAATAGGAAAGGACAAAAAAGAAAAACTAATAGCTAATGCCAGTACGTTTGGTTAGTGTACTCTGAGGCAACTCCATTTTTTAAGGACATGTACATTGTATACCTGTAATTCTCTGGTCTGGAGGCACTTTTTGTTCTACCATTGGTTGCCATGCTCTATGATTTTAAAGGTAATTCAAAACTTTGACCAACAGAGCGGCTCCAACCAAGTTCTGGTAAAAACTATGAATTCTACAGTGCTATTAGTTTACAGTGCATATACATGTAGCAGGTGCTATGAAGTAGGTAATCTCTTTTCCCATAGGCTACTCATTAAACTTTTGCCATAAGAAATCGAAGGCACTGTATAACCATATTTCAAGGGGCATTCTACATCATTTAAATATTGTACTCTGGGCAATTCAGAATTACAGCTAATTTATGCATCCTAACCTCAGTGCAAGCTCACTCTGTTTTTTGTTGATGCTATTGCTGAAGAAATTTAGGGTCTAGGCTATTCCAAAATGAATGCCAAGTTAATTTAGATGGAATGGAAATTTGTGAAAGCCTGCCGTCCATAAATCCTACCATGCCTAGTTATAAAGAAATATCTGGTGACCAATTAAGACCTTGCTTGAGACATTCTACAGGGGTTTCGATTCAACTCGGACCTAAACCAACTCAGACCCATGCCAACTCGGACCCACAACCACCTCAGACCCATGCAAACTCGACCCAATACTAACCTGG